AGAGCATATGCCTCATTAGGAGAGACAAGGACATCAGTCGTCTTGGGTGTAGGTTAGTGGCCTCTGCATAGTCTCAGTCTTGTTCCTAGACCTCCTCATTCTGATGATGAGTAGACATTGAGTAGGATGACTGTGTGAGAGTGAGGATCACAGAGATACTGCTGACAACAGCAATCACAGCTGAGCTACAAGACTCCTCACTACATGTACAATCATTCTCTCTGTCTCCAGGAACTGGTTTAGGCACAACTTTAACTGAGGTAGGCACCAATTGACCAGTAGATGAGGTAGGCACCAGCTGACTGGGGACTGAGGTAGTCACCAGTTGACAAGTAGATAAGGTAGGCCCCAGCTGATCAGTAACACCAGTAACTGAGGTAGGCAACAGTTAAGGGAGTTTTAATTCCTACATACTAGAAGAGGTGAACAAAACATAAGTGGTAAGTGAAAGTTACTCGTGATTGCTTACACATCTTAGCTAATAACAAGCAGTGACAGAAACTTAACATGTAAAAGCGTAATGACTTTTTCGTGGTGACTCTGACCTTCTAAAATAGCAGACCAAAGCAAAAAGGGCACTAGCTACATGTAGCAACAATTATTCTCTCTGTCTCCAAGATTTAAAAAACTCACTAATCGTTTTTGATAAGGAGAACAAAACTGGTAGCGATAAAGTAGAAGGAGATGATAAAGGGGTTGATTGAAGACGAGTTGGACTGTCTATACCAATGAACCTGACCTCACCCACATGAACCCATTGTATGGGTGAGAATGATAGGTCCACTAGAATGTAGACCGTGGCGGCGTAGGATCCACTTAGGAGTGAGCTTACAGAAATGGTAACAGTTGAAAGAGAGTCACAAGATGACTGGAGGGAGCCGTAACCAGCAAATGCAAATGAGAGGCTATATAATATGTTGCTGCTGGCTGCTAAGTTGTAGTCTGGATTGAGAAACACTGTGATATAGGGAATACCAATGTTCCAGTCAGGACAGTTGAACAAGTCCATCTCAATTCCAGTCAGAGACACAGCTGTGTCAAAGCCAAATGTCAACAGAACATGAGGGAAAGTGATACCAGGAGTTCCCTCATTCTTCCTCACTGTCACTAGCCGAGATGCCCAGTCAGAGGTACTTGTGTCAATATCAGGAGAGCAACCATCAAACAGATAGCTTTGCGACTCACACACCATCACACCATCACTGTCTACTAGTGGACTAGTACATCCCATTGTCACACTAGATCCATTGACTGACTCTATTCCTTGAGGTACTACTTGCACTTGTGCTTCTGTATCTGGAATGTTACAGATAATGCAGAGGAACTCTAAACTGAATATGACTACATCAAGTCCTTACCTCCAATAAAGATAGATAGAAAGACTATTACTATTGTCTTTATCATGACTGGGGTGAAGGAAACGTTTATTATGCGCGATCGAAGGCAGCGCGGGGCTCCGCGCGAACTGGACACGCGCGAATGTCGCACGCACGCTCGACAAAAATGCCGCTAGCACGATAACTCCCAAGCCTTTAGCTAGGCCTTCAAAAAGATTAAAGAATATCACTATAGACATCCAGCTATGTTACCAAGACTAGTGCGATGTATCCTTGAAGATCGCTATATGCACTCTCTGAACCACTGTCTATATTGTCTCCAGCGTACCCTCTTTAACAGTACAAGTCCATCTCACTTTGGAATGAGCGTGGCGCTATACTACTGCTTACAAAAGTGGATTAGGATCTAGGTTGGAGCCGATCAGGATCAAGATTGAAATCCACCTTGTAAACACAACCACCCTTTGCAAATCTCAGCTCACATATAATATACTTCCAGCAGAGAGAGTAGCCCCACATAAAAGCTGATAAATAGCTCTGAGCATGATCTTATTAAGGTACTGCATGTAGTTGCCCTTACTGGAGTGCGCATGGGCTGCATGGACTAAAGGGAATGTAACAATGTTGCAAGTGTAAGCCGTTGATCACCTTTCATCATTGGCCCACTTTACCGTAAGCCACACCCTTCTTTTTGGCCTGATTATTAGTGCTCTAAATATTATTGATTGCTAATAATATGCATGTGAAATGTTTGAATTTGGGAGTCTGAACAGTGAGTATTTAAGAGTGCATAGTTAGGAAACAGCCCACTTATCCCGTCCTGACATGGAGGCTCAATTATTCACCGTACTGCTCCTCTGTGCTGCCGTCGTTGCTGGTGACATTTACCACTTCCCTTCTGTCAATCTGGACACTCCAGAGAACTCTGTTTGTCCCCCAACAGTCAACTGGAGGCTGCCAGAAACGACATCGCAAGCAATATCTCGGAGATTCTCCTGGAAATTGCTGCTAACATCACACCAACAATACCTATACCATTCCTGCATGTGGAGGCTCAGGATGGAGGCAAGTGGCGTATTTCAACATGACGGATCCTGCCCAGAACTGCCCTGAACAGTGGATGCTAATTGAACAGGATGCACTGAGAGCCTGTGGTAGACAGGAGAGTGGACAAGCTAGCTGTGACTCGCTCCTCTTACCCTATGATGGTGACAATTATACTGAAGTCTGTGGAAAAGTAAGAGGATACCAGTATTATACTCCTGATGGTGGTCATATCGACCATCTCACTCTCACTTCCGGAAATGAAATCAATGAGCCTTACTTGGATGGAGTGAGTATTACCCACGGCACCCCTCGTGAACATATTTGGTCTCTGTATGGGGCAGTAAATGAAGAGTACTGCTGCAGCCAGTCGCGAAAAGCTTTATGGCACACGTACTTTGTCGGAAACAACTACTTTTGTGACACGTCTAATCCGCAAGATCAGAATCATTTAATGTTTTTCACGGACCATATACTTTGGGATGGTAGTGCCCAGTGTCCCAGCAATTCCACATGCTGTGCTCCTCATTTAGGACCATGGTTTCATTCCGTACTGAACCGTCCATCTGCAAATGACATTGAAGTGAGGATATGCGGAGATGAAAGTACCGGCAACGAAAACACTCCGTTGGAGCTGATTGAAATATATGTGAAGTAGCTGTGAGAGATACTCAATGAACATTATAGTTATAGCAACTTAGAGAGTTTTGCATGTGTGTACAATCAACTTTAATATGCACAGCGATAGCTGTACCAGGCACATTAGTACGGTGAAGAATTGATATGCAGCTATGAAGGCACAATAGTGCATAAGGATAGAAACAGATACACGCGAAAAAACTAGCTATTAATGTTTTCACCATTTCATCAGGTGCACATTAATCAGACATAATGGAATTTAAAAATCTCTGCAGTAGGTAGCTAGAGTAGATCAATCAGTTTCATAGGTGTATATCCAGCAAGTCATCGATGAGCCAAACAAGCTCACTTAGTGAATAAGACAGCCGAACCTGTGCACTACCAAAAATTCATGGCATATTATTATGAAAGATTGCTCATAAACTCAACACTCAACAGAATAGTTAATGCCTGATGTTCTGTTTGGAGTGTCCACCTATGATAGAAAGGTGATGAATTTAACAGACAGCTCCACTGCCTGTTTACAATTTCAACCCAGATTTCTTGGGGAAGAATTTCAGCTCTTCATTATAGCCTGAGAAAGGCATAGTTTGTGTTAGGTAGCTACTGAGTTGTGTAAGAGGACAATTTTTCTTCCTTGCTAAGGTTTGTGTTGAGAGTATCTGGGAGTTAAGAAAGGGCTAAGTAGTGTATGGAGAGAACCCTAGCGTTGAACTGTCCCCATCTAAGAGTGTATTTTTTACAAATGGCTACCAGACTTGATCTCGCAGAGAATAAGCAACATCCCTACTGATTGGTGTATAGTTTAGAGATGTCATTTGTTGTGTACACACACACACACACACACACACACAAAGTACTGCAACACTTTAATTAGTGGTATATACTCACCTACACATGCATGTTCCAATACTATACCCACCGTGAACTTGTTTCTAGTGCACTGAGGGTTGTGCTTTCAAACACACAAACACTACCGTTTACACTTGACACATGAGATGTGGGCTCAATAACAGCAAGAGTGTCCTATGTCAGTATTTTCATATGTTTCACTACATAAGTAAACAATAAAATCGCTTCATAGTTTAAACTTTTGTGGGTGACTGTTTATAGCTACTAGTTAAAGTGCATTGACCAGCAGTATGTATGAAAGTGAACAATATTCTATTACTGAAGCACACAATTAGCCACAGCAGAGTAATAACTATACTTTCATGCTTGTGTTAATGTTTACTCTTGCTTTCTTCTGTCACTTCACCACCTCATAGGTAACTTCTTCCCTTGGGCTGGTTATCTTGGTCAGAGCATATGCCTCATTAGGAGAGACAGGAACATCAGTTGTCTTGGTGGTAGGGTTAGTGGCCTCTGCATAGGTCTCAGTCTTGTTCCTAGACCTCCTCATTCTGAAGATGAGTAGACATTGAGTGAGGATGACTGTGGTGAGAGTGAGGATCAGCAGGAGAGATACTGCTGACACAACAATCACAGCTGAGCTACTAGACTCCTCACTACATGTACAATCATTCTCTCTGTCTCCAGGAACTGAGGTAGGCACCAGTTGACCAATAACTGAGGTAGGTACCAGTTGACCAGGCACTGAGGTAGGCACCAGTTGACTGGGGACTGAGGTAGGCACCAGTTGACTGGGGACTGAGGTAGGCACCAGTTGACCAATAACTGGGGTAGGCACCTGTTGACCAGTCACTGAGGTAGGCACCAGTTGACCAGTAACTGAGGTAGGCAACGGTTAAAGTGTGTATGTCAGTGTCATACTTACTGGAAGAGGTAAGAAATACATAAATGGTAGTGAACGTTATTTGTGAAAACTGAAAACATCTTAGTTGTTAACAAACAGTGATAGAAAAAAATCGACATTAACTAGGCATCCATGCACCTATTTTTGAACTCTGATCTTGCAATAGCAGACCAAAGCAAAAGGGCACTACATGTATAATCATTCTGTCTATCTTGAGGGTTAAACACTCACATGATTTGATAAGGAAAACAAAACTGGTAGTGGTAAAGTAGAAGGAGATGATGGAGGAGTTTGGTTGAAGACAAGTTGGACTGTCTATACCAATGAACCTGACCTCTCCCACATGAACCCACTGTATGGATGAGGTGTGTGATAGGTCCACTAGAATATAGACTGTGCGATAGGATCCACTTAGGAATGAGCCTCCAGAAATGGTAACAGTTGAAAGAGAGTCACAAGATGACTGGAGGGAGTTGTCACCAGTACCAAACGTAAATGGAAGGCTAAATAATGTGTGGTGGTAGCTGCTAAGTTGTAATCTGGATTGAGATACACTGTGATAGATGGAATACCAATGTTCCAGTCAGACAGTTGAACAAGTCCATCTCAATTCCAGTCAGAGACACAGCTGTGTCAAAGCCAAATGTCAGCAGAACATGTGCAAAGTGAAGATTTCCCTCATTCCTCCTCACTGTCACTAGCTGAGATGCCCAGTCAGAGGTACTTGTGTCAATATCAGGAGAGCAACCATCAATCAGATAGCTTGTGTGACCCACACACCATCACACCACCACTGTCTACTAGTGGACTAGTACATCCCATTGTCACACTAGATCCATTGACTGACTCTATTCCTTGAGGTACTACCTGCACTTGTGCTTCGGTACCTGGAAACGTAATAAACTCTTGCAGAGGAGCTCGAAACTGAATATTGCAAGTAAGTCCTTACCTCCAATGAAGATAGATAGAAAGACATTACTTTTGTGTTTATCATGACTGCGGTGCAGTGAACATACACATGGGCTAGCTATGCGCGCTCGAAGGAAGCGCGGGGCGTTTACCGCGCAAGCGGTTTGGCTGAGAGTTTTGCATCTGCGTCAACTGGAGGCTGCCAAAAACAGCATCGCAAGCAATATCTCGGAGATTCTCCTGGAAATTGTTGCTAACGTCCCTATACCATTCCTGCATGTGGAGGCTCAGGATGGAGGCAAGTGGCGTATTTCAACATGACGGATCCTGCCCAGAACTGCCCTGAACAGTGGATGCTAATTGAACAGGATGCAGTGAGAGCCTGTGGTAGACAGGAGAGTTGACAAGCTAGCTGTGACTCGCTCCTCTCCCCCTACGATGGTGACCATCATACTGAAGTCTAAGAGGATACCAGTATTATACTCTGATGGTGGTCATATCGACCATCTCACTCTCACTTCCGGAAATGAAATAAATGAGCCTTATTTGAGTATTACCCACGGCACCCCTCGTGAACATTTTTGGTATCTGTATGGGGCAATAAATGAAGAGTACTGCTGCAGTGAGTTGCAAAAAGCTCACTGGCGCACGTACTTTGTCGGTAACAACTATATACTTTTGTGACACGTCTAATCCGCAAGATCAGAATCATGTTTTTCACGGACCATATACTTTGGGATGATAGTGCCCAGTGTCCCAGCAATTCCACATGCTGTGCTCCTCATTTAGGACCATGGTTTCATTCCGTACTGAACCGTCCATCTGCAAATGACATTGAAGTGAGGATGTGCGGCGATGAAAGTACCAGCAACGAAAACACTCCGTTGGAGCTGATTGAAATATATGTGAAGTAGCTGTAAAAGTTACTCAATGAACATAATAATGATATTGATTTCTTGAGATTATTGCAATATTTCATGATATTTAATTATATGCACATGTGTGTACAATTAGATATAATGAAGATAAATGAGTTTGTGTACCGGTTACACTAAACGAACAACTAGCTTAGCTTGCTCCATTCTCCCAATGACAAGTTCAACAATTTTTTCCACCGTATCTTGTGCTCCTTTTCCTCCTACGATCATGATCTTGTCTGGTGATGCACCGGCCACTAAACACCGACACCTACAACAAGCTAAGGAGCCGATCTCCACCCATTGTCCGTCAACCAGCTGGTAAATTGATTTGACTGGCGGCCACCCGTCACTCCTCCCACCAATGATTATGAGCTGTCCACAAAGAGTTGCAGCGGTTGAACTTTTCACTGGTAAAGGAGGAAGACATGTCCATGATATGAGGTGTGGCGTCAACCGTGGTACGTCACTGGACGGTAGAGATTGAAGAGAAAAGAAGTATCCATTAGCATGATCACCAACTACATGTAGTTTATCACCACACAATGTGACTGAAGGTCTAGTGAGAGGTTGCAGTAGATCTGTTAGCTTGTACCATTTTCGGCTATTTACTTGAAATAGTTCAACTGTGGAAGTCCAACCACCATCATCAACTAATCCTCCTATGACAATGAGGCAGGTGCCATTAGATGTACTAACTACAGCGGGGGACGAACGTGCAATGTTCATTGGAGGGTATTCCTCGACCCATTTCGTCCATCTGAGTGTGAATACTTGGTTGGTATGAGATCCCCCCACAGCACATAGTTCACCATCGATGATCACTAGCCCAGAGTTCATACATGGCAATGGCGGAAGTGTGTCCCATTTTTCTATGTACTCCAATTGTATTGGTAGACTTCAGTGGAATCAAATGATGCAGCTCTATTTTCCTTGGAAACAAAGAGTTGTCCTGGGTGTAGTTGTTGCCTTTGCTTTGCATTGGCCTCATTGGTGACACATGCAATCAACATCAGCAAATGAATCACGTTGCACTATGGACAGTGGCAGATCCAGGGGGGTTCCTTGGGTTCCTCGGATCCCCCTTTTTTGTCGTTGTGCGCGCAATGTGTCGCCGGCCTCGTGCGCACGCTAGAGCGCAGTCGAAAATGTTCTGGACAGGGGAGCTCCCCATTTCAAAATCCTAGATCCACCACAGTGTAAAAATCCTCTTACCTCGTATCCAGCAGGAGTTTTAGCCATTGTAGAGTAGGGAGGAGGGCAGTCCTCGAAATCAGACCCATCCCGAGGATAGCTGGTGGTGTTAATAATGACAGGGGTCTGCTGGGCTGGTGGGGGATGTGTGGTCAGAGTGGTAGAAACAGTCCGGGGTGAGTGGACCATTAGGACAGGGGCTGTCCTTAATAGGCGTCTTCTCCTGGCCCTCGTGTAGGAGCTTCCTCCACAGCAACAAACACAACCAGCACCACCAGAAACAGTACCAGCAGTGTTACTCCCACTATCACACCTGTCGATGAGCCTCTGGGATAAAATTATTCAACCACGTTGGAGAGACAACGCATGTACAATGGCTCTATAGAGAACACATTAACTTCATTACCCTCACTGTATGTATTGTGCTGCTCTCCTCAAGAACTGCACTTACACCCCATTCACATAGACCAAGTCGAACCCGGGTTTAACTCTGGGTTAATCAACCCGGGGTAAGTGCCATGTGAAAGGGGTAAGAAAACCCCCCATATATCACAATGTATGGGCTAGCATTCAAGACACTATGATGGTGATCGTAGCTAGCTAGTGTGGATTATTAACCTGAAGTGCTGCAGTATTCATCAGAGTTGTCCCAGCAATCGTTATACCATCACATCTCTGGATTGAGTATGCAGTAGCCATTTGAGCACTCATACTCACTGTAAGAACAGATATCTAAGGGAGAGAGAGGAACAGATGAAGTGTAACAACATATGATTATTGTGCTGCAATATACCGCAGTTATCTTCGTCAGAGTAGTCGAAGCTACCATAGTCGTAGTAGCCATCACAAACGTTAGTGTAGTAGATACAGCGATCAGTGCGGTAACACTCGAACTCGTCGGAATAGCAATGACTCCCTGCACAACGTGGATATAGCTAGAGAAACAGGATTACCAACAGCTCTACCTTTGACAGTGGAGACCTGAAGAAACAGTGGAATCAGGAACAGCAGACGCATTCCGCCGCTAGTGCACGCTAGCACCATGCTGCCTGTAGTAGATACGGCCTTTTCTTTTTTTTGCTTCTGCACGTTTACGCATGCGCACTGATTTGCATGATTCCACCTACCTTGATGTTCTGACTTGAGATACATCACAGCTCATGTGCTTATGGTCAGTCCCGGACTGACGATTTCCCTCGAGGTATATATTACTGCTGTGCATGGGTTAAAATCAAGCCAGTGTAGCACGGTGGTGGCAGGTGTTGAGTCTGTTGATTAAAGTGTAAGGATTGGCAAACACTATACATGACTGTAGATCAGTAGATGGAGCACCAACATACCTGTCAGAATAGAGGACAAGGGAAAACTTTTCAAGGACACAAAAATTAATCCCTTCTAATTTAACCGAGTCAAAGACAGCTAGTGTCTATTATGAGCTATGTATCTATGTCCCAGTCATGTGTGTGAAAGCCTCCCTGTGATTTACTGATGATGCTCCCACCCAAAAAATAAAATTGCCAAGAAAACATTCGTGAATGGCTCAAACCACGAAATTCGCAAGATTCTTGCTACCAAAGGCTGAGGGAAAACTACTACTCCAGAAATCTTGCTAGAAAGACATTTTAAATTACTGCTTTGTCCCTGGCCACCTGCAGACACAGAGCCCTGGCTTCCTAGAGCAGAGACAGGTGGGAGGGCTGGTTGGCTGGCACAGTGTAGGCTAGCCTTATCTTCCACAGTCATCCTCGAGGATTATGAACTTTCCAGCTATCTAGCTATGTATAGACTCAGCCAATAGGCACTACATCTTTCTAAAGATGGCAGTGTCCTGTAGTGCAGCATTTTCATAAAATAAATGAGTACACACCTTAAAGTCAACAGTAGGTGACTGTTTACGTTAGTAGAAGTGTTATGTAACCTAACCACTAACAGTTTGCATGTATACATTCCAAGCACGGAGGAGGAACATTCAGCAAAATAATGATCAAACATCCTTCATCTGTCATTGCACCACCTCATAGGTAACTTTTCCCTTGGGCTGGTTATCTTGGTCAGAGCATATGCCTCATTAGGAGAGACATGAACATCAGTTTTTGGTGTGTTTTGCTTTCAACACACAAACGTATACATACAACACACGACACATGGGGCTCAATAACAGCAAATAGTGTCCTATGTCAGCATTTATACACAACAGTGCATGTGTAGAAAAATTGGTTTCAAAAATTAAAACTTTCGTGGGTGAT